GAGGAAGTGGGACCCTTCCAGAGCCAGAGTCCGTGACATGGGAGCCTAGAAATGCTAGTCATGGCATTAAAACCAATTCTTTCTGATGTGAAGAACCCGACATACACACACTGATTCTTGTTGGTGTGGGCATTATCTCCTTCAGAGCCAAGGAAATTCCAAGCTTCTTATTGACATTGCGTGGAAGGATGGATGCTGAAGGTTCCTGATGAGCTTAAGCGGCCTTTGTATCACGCAGGGGAGTCATTATTTTATTGAAATAAATGTTAAAGTGCTTACAAAGATTTTCAAAGATCGACTAGTGATCTTAATCCTTTTAGGCCGGGAGCTCCTTCCTGCAAGTCCCCTGACAGGGGAAAGGGACCATGACCCTTGGTGTAGATGGCTCCCCCCCTCCACTCTGTCCCCCAGGAAGCCGTGAGAAAACACAAGGCTGTAGGACCCCACGGGCTACAACGAGGAACTTGGGAGTCAGATGCAAATGTTTACCTATTTCTTCCCCAGGAAAGAGTGCTGCCAGACCTGGGGAAGGACTTGAGGAGAGAGAGAAAAGAAGGCAAAGGGACAGATTGCAGTCTTGATCATCTGCGTGGCCTCAGGGGACAAACCATTGATTAAAAACGGAAGGTCAATATCATCTCTGCTGGGCAAACTTGAGATCCTTGAAGAGCCTCTCAGCCCAGTAGGACTCTCAAGCCCCGCTCTGGAGTGAGCAGAAAAGAGACGCGGCACTTTCCCCTTGAAGGCTCATCTTGGCCCGAGCTCATCATTACATAAGCAGCGGGTGGATCTTCAAGCTGCCCAGGCTGCCCTGATCAGAACAGCATTCGTCACCAGCTCCCAGCTTTATAATTTCCTAAAGAGGCTAAGGTGGGAGTCACTCACTCCAAGCCTCTCTTTGCAGAAAATTGGAGATGACATTCGTCCCTGAAGCCAGAATAGCACGGCAGGTCCCTGTTTGCATGGCTCATTCACGAGGCTTGTCCACGACTATTCCTGACCCTTCCATTCTAACTTTGCATCCATCTGCTAAACACAACCAGTCCCTTTTCTGGGGCAGCAAAAGCTTTGTTCTGAGATTTTAAAATAGATGTGAAATTTATTATAGCTGCAGGTTGGGATCACAGTCATTTTCCCCCATTGTAGGGGTTAGACACAGAAACCCTAGGTGGCCATATTCCCACTGCAGGTCAGGGTTGGGGAGAAGTTAGTCCTCCCTTGGCCCCTACCCACCAGCCTACGCCCCTGTCCCCTGATGTTCTCCCCTGAGAATGTTCTTCAGGGCTTCTCCCAGCTGTTTGCCTTAATTTTCCCACATCCTCACCTGTCAGATGAGACTCAACCAGGAGAAAACCAACAAACATCCCAAGAAGACTGCTCTGAAAACAGAATCAGGTGCCGAGTGGGGAGCCATCAGAGACAGCAAATATCAACACAACTTGGCTGTCACTGTCCACTGTGAACATAGGGGACTCTCTATGTGGGGCTTTTTTTCCCTGCAGGTTCTGGTTCACCTGAATACCTGGGAGTGTTTATACAGACCTGAGGCAGGAAACAGCCCCTGTCCCCACAGTGTAAGGGAGCTTCCCTTTCCTGTTCCCTGGCTGGCTGCTTGCTGGGACACCACCTGGCTTGTTGGAGGGTGCAGCGCTGACCCTGCCACCCTTGAGCAGCAGTTCCCAAACTTAAGCAGCATAAGGATCCCCTGGAGGGCATGTTAAACCCTAGATTCCTGGACCCCATCCCACAAATTCAAGTCCAAAAATTTGGGGTGGGGCCTGAGAATGTACATTTATTTTTATTTTATTTTATTTTTTCTTTCTTTTGGAAGAATGTACATTTCTTAAACATTCCCAGGAGATACTGTTGCTGCTGTTCCAGGGACCACACTTTGAGAACTACTGCCTTATATCTCTACAGTATCAACCAATTACCCCCTCTCACCTTTTCTGAGCGCACCCTTACACTATGGGCAAACTATGACACCAAACCATGTGACTTGTTAGGAAACCCTTTTTTCTCCGGGGTTCATCTGACAGGTATTTTCTGAACTGACTCCTGGTAGAACATGGTAAGGAATACAAATGCTGAGTCGTGCTAAAATGACACTTGCCACCAACTGCAAGAGTTGAGCTTTGAGTTGATTTCCAATTAAAGGTAATCATAGATGAATAGAAGCAAAAGAATTTTAGGAGCAAAGGAGAATTTAAACTTCAACTCATTCAACTATCTTTGAACCCATCTTATAAATATCCTATCTTCCAAAGTTCATTTATAAATTGGCTGTTTTACCCTTGGAATGCATTTTCTAATGCAATCAGCACTCTTCATTACTTACCCTATAATGTGGCTGTAATTATTCATTTTGCACAAAAACAAAAGGTAGAAAACCATATTATATTTTATTCTAAATTTTATAAGATGTTTAAACATATGGAACACATCAAAAGTCATTCGTTCATTCAATCATTTATTATATTTATTAATTTAGAGACAAGGTCTCACTCGGTTGCCTAGGCTACAGAGCAGTGGTGTCATCATGGCTCACTGCAACCTCGAACTCCTGGGCTCAAGCGATCCTTCTGCCTCAGCCTCTCAAGTAGGAGTAGCTGGGACTACAGATGCATCCCACGACACTTGGCTAATTTTTCTATTTTTTGTAGAGATGGGGTCTTGCTCTCGTTCAGGCTAGTCTCAAACTACTGGCCTCAAGCGATTGCCCTGCCTCAGTCTCCCAGAGTGCTAGGATTACAGGCATGAGCCATCATGCCTGGCCCAAAATCTCCCCTTATAATAGACAATCATTTTACAATGTGTTATATTATAAAAAATTAATACAAAATAAAATTAAGATAAAATTTAATTTTATATGGAATGTGAGCACTGAAGGAAAGGTTTTACTATAATAAGATGGGGAGCTTAATGGCTATCCCACTGGAGCAGCCAGGGAACTTGAGAACTTTATGCAGGGACTAATTTTACTTCTAAGCATAGAGACTTCCAGGGCAATTTGGAGAAATGGCTGATTCCAGTGCTGGGGCAGGGAAAGTTCAAGATAAGTCTGGAACATCTTATTGTGTCAGAAAGAAAGGGCATACTCTAAAAATGTTGGAAACATATAAAAGGATGCAGGAGCTAACTTGAAGGGCTCCCACTGAGCAAATCTGAGACAATTTGAGCATCAAAATCAAGCAAATAATGACAGTAATGAATTATAACCCATAAATGAAATCATCCATCTGTCCATGGTTATTACACACATGTACTATATGTTAACATATAGGCTAACTAATAATGAATACTTTACATAAAGTCTATGTACATATGCATTATTAATATATTAGTATATATTAATAGATTAGTATATATTAGTATATATTATGTGTTTCTATATACTAGTATATTACATTATACTATTTAGTATAATGATTACTATATATATATACATATATATATATACATACATATATATATATATAAAGTATATACAAAGGCTATCTGGAAAGCATCCAATCATTTAACATGAAAAATTATGAAAATTATGACTGGATACTTTCTAGACAGCCTTTGTATACATATAGCTTATTAGTATATTATATATAATATATATCTGTATATAGTAGTTATACCTTATTATTTGGCATTCTACTATGAAGAAGAGCTTTCCCTTCTTCCCCATTTAACTAATAAATGGAGAAGGAATGATGGAGTGAGAAACATCACCATTTTGCAACCATCATGGTATTGAGTAAGGTAAGAATCATCAATGGATGTTAAAACCAGTGCATGAACATTTGATTAAGAACAGGATATTTACATATTCTAAAAATATTCACTCTCAAATGATTCATCAATTACAAAGAGAAAGATAGTAACTTTCCAGTGGAAAAACATTATCGACACCACCTTAACCAAGAGATTAATGTTAGCATCATTGGTGATGGGACATATCAACCACAATGGACTAAGAAGAGAGTAGCATTGCTTCTATTCCTCCCCAAAACATGTAGTCTAAAACTAGTTACAAAAAAATATCAGACAAGCTCATGTTGAGGGACATCCTACAAAAGAACTGACTTGTATTTTTAAAAAATGTTAAAGTCAAGAGAGACAAAGAAAGAATAAGGAACAGTCCCTGACCGAAGGAGGCTAAAGACTCACAACAACTCAGTGTACATGTGTGGGTGGCTCCTAGACTGGAAAAACTGCTCCCGAGGATATTACTGGGACAAAGGGCAATATTTCAATATAGAATGTTCAGTAATAAGATTGTATGAATAATTTTCCTGATTATGATCGTTGAATAGGGGTTGTGTGTAAGTGAATTTCTTTGTTCTTAGAAAATGTGATCCGATATTCAGGGATAAAGGAGCATGATATCGCTGTCTTAGTCTGTTCAGTTTTTCTATAAAGGAATACCTGAAGCTGAGTAATTTATAAAGAAGTTTAGCTGGATGTGGTGGCTCATGCCTATAATCCCAGCTACTTGGGGAGAGTGCTTGAGCCCAGAAGTTTGAGGCTGTAGTGAGCTATGATCACGCCACTGCACCCCAGCCTGGGTGACAGAGCTAGACCTGGCTCTCAAATAAATAAATAAACAGAAAAAGAAAAGAAAAGAGGCTGCAGGCTGTACAAGAGGCATGGTGCCAGCATCAGCTTTCTGGTGGGGGTCTCAGGCTGCTTCCACTCATGGGGGAAGGTGAAGGGGAGCTGGTGTATGCAGAGATCACATGTTGAGAGAGGAAGCAAGAGCAAGCTAGAGGGAAGGTACCAGGCTCTTTTTTAACAACTAGCTTTCATGGGAACTAATAGGGACAGAACTCACACACTACCCTCACCCAGGACTTTAATCTATTCATGAAGGATCTACCCCCATGAAAAAACACCTTCCATTAGGCCCCACCTCCAACATTGGGCATCAAATTTCAAAATGACATTTAGAAGGGATGAACATTCAAACCATAGCATTCTGCCCCTGACCCTTCAAATCTCATGTCCTTCTCACATTGCAAAATACAACCATCCCTTCCCAACAGTCCCCAAGGTATTAACTCATTTCAGCATCAACTCAGAAGTCCAAAGTCTCATCTGAGACTCAAAGCAGGTTTCTTCTAGCTATGAGGCTGTAAAATCAAAACCAAGTTATCTACTTCCAAGATACAATGATGATACAGGCATTGGGTAAACATTACTTATTGACATCCAACAGATTGTTCCAAAACTTAATGGCTTGAAACAACGATTTATTGTTATTTCTCTAGTTATGGGAATTCACTGGACTTAGTGGTGCTTGCCTGGGGGACTTGCATGTGGTAACCCATGGCTAGGGTTGGAGTCACCTCAATGCTAGACTGGGCTGGATGTCTAAGATGACTTCTTGACTCTCCTGTGTGGCATCTGGGCTGAGATAGCTGGAACAGGCTAGATATAAAAAAAGAAGAAGAAAGAAAAACATGGCCATTTTTACATTTGAAAGAAATCTATTAAAAATATCAGAATATGCTGGGTTCGGTGGCATAGGCATGTAATCCTAGCACTCTGGGAGGCCAAGGCGGGAGGATCACTGGAGCTCAGGCATTTGAGACCAGACTGAGCAAAAGCAAGACCCCATCTCTACCAAAAATGGAAAAAATTAGCTGGGTATGGTGGCACATGCCAGTAGTCCCAGCTACTTGGGAGGCTGAGGCAGGAGGGTCGCTTGAGCCCAGGAGTTTGAGATTTCAGTGAGCTCTGATGATACCACTGCACTCTAGTAGGGGTGAGAAAGCAAGACTCTGTCTCAAAACAAAAACAAACATACAAAAACAAAAATCAAAATACAGAATGGGTTAAGGAAAAGGGATAGAAAATGATATTAATATGTCTGGCAAGTAGCAAAAGAAAGCTAGTATAGCTATATTAATGTCACAGAAAATAAACTTGTATGACAAAAAAGTATGTCTCAAGATAAAGTGAGTCATTCCTATACATGTAACAATTCTAAATCCAAATGCCCATAATAATATAGCTTCAAAACTTGTAAAGAAAAAAATTACCAAAACTACAAAGAAAAATACATGAAATCATCAATATAGTAGGCATTTTTGTAATAGAGATAGGGTCTTGCTATGTTGTCCAGGCTGGACTTGTACTCCTAGGCTCAAAGGATTCTCCCACCTCAGCCTCCAGAATAGCTAGTACTTATAGGTGTTTGCCACTGTGCCTAGCTTATGGTGGGCAATTTTAACTCACCATTTGCAGTAGTGGATAGATCAAATAGGCCAAAGAAATCCTGAAAGATATAGAGATATGAACACAATTAGCAGGCTTTATCTGATATACATATTATATATATAATATATATTCTATATATGTCAGTGTATAGAATACTGTACCACCCCATTGCAGAATACACATTAATAAGTATCAATTGCATACTTAGCCACAGAAAAAGTTTCAACAAATATCAAATGATTGGTAGAAATAGTGGCCTTCACATCAGCACTCGAGGAGTGTATTGGCTGCATTGGACAGAGTTGTTTACGCCCTTCTTGAAGCATCTTCTTCTTGGGCCTCCAAGGGCATGCTCTTAATTTCCCCCCCATCTCACTGGCAGCTACTTCTCAGTCTCCTTTGAGATTTCTCCGTATCTTTTTGAGTTTGAAACATTGAGTATTTTGGAGCTCAGTCCTTGGAGCTCCTCTTCCTTTTTAATGCTAACCCAAAGTGACTGTGTCCATATTTGTAGCTTTTAATACCACTTAAATGCTGCTGATTTCCAAATTAAGCCTCCAGCCCAAATTCTTCCTTTGGATTTCAGACTCACAGATCCACCTGCCTACTCAACATCTCCACTTGGAAGTCTAATTGGGATATCAGGCTTAGCATGTCCAAATCTGAATCCTTGATTTCTCCCCTAAACCTGTTCCTCTTTTATTCTTCCTGTCTTAGTAAATGACAACTCTACTCCTCAAGTACTAAAGCCTAAATTCTTGGTGTCATCCTTGTGTTTTCTTTCTCTCTTACTCCACAATAACAAATCCTGCCATCTTTCTCCTTACTGCCTCCACTCCTGCTACCCTAGGTCAAGCCACCATTATCTCTTAACCTGAATAACAGTCTCCTAACAGGTTGTCTCAGTTATCTATTTCTATGTAATGATCCCAACGTTTAGTGGCTTAAAGCAACATCAGTTTATTTTTTTATTTCCCATGATTCTGTGGGTTGATCAGGCAGTTCTACAATGTCATGTGATGACAGGTTGGGTGCTAGGATGGCTGGAAGGTCTGATATGGCTTCACTCCCATGGCTGGCAGTATGTGATGGCTACCTGTGGAAGCTCCGCTGGAGCTGTTAGCCAGGGGCCTTGGTTTCCCTCTACTTGGGCCTCACCTCTCCACATAACTGCTTGGGCTTCCTCACAGCATGGTGGCTGGGTTCTGAGTAGGAGCATTCCAGGTACTGAAAGGGAAGCTGCAGATTTCTTAAATCACAACCTTGAGGGTAGGATGAAGTCACTTCTATGCGTTCTTTTAGTCAACTAGTCAGCACCTGCCCAGATTCAAGTAGTGAGAAATGGAATCTACCTTTCGATGGCAACAGTGGCAAAGAATGTTTGGTCATCTTTAGTTCACCACAGAGGTCTCTCTGTTTCCACCTTTACCAGCCCATAATTCCCTACATAACTTCCAGAGACTTCCTTTTAAAACTTAAGTCCTAAAAATTCTCCAATAGCTTCTCCTCTCATCCAGAATAAAAATTAAATTCCTCATCATGGTCATCATGACAACGTAATCTGACCTTTGCTCCCTCCCCCAGCTTCTCTCTCCTACTCACTGCATCAGGCCACGTTAGCCTCTGCTGTTTCTCATCCTCGCCAGTCACACTGTCCCGGGCCTTTCATCGGATGCTCCCTCTGCCTAGGTCCCACGGGTCTCTGCATGGAAGAATCAATTCTTACTTCCTTCAGGGGTCTAATCAAAACACATTTTTTCCAAAGGGCCTTCCCTCTCTTGAATAAGCAAAAACAATACCAGCACAATAAGAAACAGGTGTCTCTGGGCAGAGGGGGGAATTGGTTAGAAGGGGCCCAGGGAAGCTTTTTGGGGTGATAAAATGTTCAATATTTTGAATAGTAATTACATGGATAAAGCTGGAACCCATTCTACTAAGTGAAGTATCTCAAGAATGGAAAAACCAGCACCACATGTACTCACCAGCACATTGGTATTAACGGATCAACACCTAAGTGGACATATAGGAGTAACGTTTATCGGGTGTCGGGAAGGTGGGAGGGGGGAGGAGGGGATGGGTGTATACAACCACAACAAAAGATGTGCAACGTTTGGGGGATGGACATGCTTGAAGCTCTTACTCGAGGGGAGAGGGGGGCATGGGCAATATAAGTAACCTTAACACTTGTACCCCCATAATATGCTAAAATTAAAAAAATAATAATAATTTAATGGATGTTGTTTCTCTTATCTATTGCTGCATAACAAACTGCTCCCAAATTTAGTTGTACAAAACAACTATTTATTATCTCTCAAGATTTCTGCAGGACAGGAACTTGGACACGGCACAGTGGGGACAGTGTGTTCTGTGATATCAAGGGCCTCAGCTAGAAAACTTGAAGGCTTGAGGCTAGGATCATCCAAAGGCTTATTCACTCATCAGCTGGGGCCTGAGCAGGGGCTGTTGGCCAGAACACCTACACGTGGCTTCTCACAGCATGGTGAATGAGTTTTGAGGACAGGCACAGGGCAGGTGGGTGAGGAGGGAGAGAGAGATTGAGCCAGGTGGGAGAGGTATTGCCTTACACAACCTAGTCTCAGAAATCACGTCATGTCCCTTCTGCTACAGACTGTGCATTGGAATCAAATCACTGAGGCCACTCCACATTAAAGGGAAGGGATGGGAACAGTGAGAATGATGGAAACAATGGCACAGAATTGTCAGACATGTTTTAGAACCAACACAGGCAGGTCTGCACAATTGGCACAGATCATTGATTGAACACTTAAAGAACTATGCATTTGATGGTATAGCAATTACAGCTCCATTTAAGAAATGGAAAAATGGCCTTCCCTGGCCTGAAAATAAAGTCCCCACCCCAGGGTCACTTCCCTTTGCCCTGTTTTTGTTCACTTCATAGCACCTATCACAGCCTGTCACAGCCTGACAGATTGGCCCTTCCACTTATTTGCTGTCTCTCTCCCACCCTCACCTGCCACCCCCACAAGACTGTAAACTCTAGGGCAGCAGGCACTTTGTGCTGAAGACCCAGCACCTACAACTGAGTCTGGCGCTCAGCTGCTCAGTCAGTATTTGTTGAATGTTAGTAAATGAATTGCACGATTCCAGGAAGGCAAGTGGAGCTGCCTTCCTGGCCTTCCTGCCACAGCTGACATGAGTGGTGATCACACACTTTATATCAAAGTGTTAAATGCAGATCACAAATGTCACAGGCATTCAGATGAGGAAGAGACAGTCTAACCTGAATAGTCTTTAGAGGTGACTTGGTTTAGCTCCTTGTTTCTGAGCGAGCGCAGTGGGATCGAAAGATGACAGGCTTATTCATGGCCACACAGCAGCAGGTTTAGAAGCCAGGCCACGTGACCTGGGTCACTAGCTACAGCGCGAGGCTCTTAACCCTCTGCAGAGGGCTGCCTCCTCCCTCCAGTGCAGCACCTTTGGGGAAAGGAGTGTTCCTGGCCTGGCAGTGCTGTTGGATAGAAACAAATGAAACGTCAGAAATGAGACTGACTCTGTGAATTGGACAATGAAAGTCAGGCTCACACTTTATGAGTCCTCTTTGCATTAGACAGAAGGGAAATGCATTTTCTTTGGATTTTTAAGTCATCTGATTTACCTCTGGTGGTGGGGTTGGCCACATAAAAATATTCCTGGTCTCCTGGTGTCATAATATCCCCTTTTTTCCTAATCATAGGCTAAAGTGCTCTCTATAAAAGGTGGAGATTTCTAAGCCAGTTTTCTTTAAGCAACTGATTCCATGATAGAAAGATAGAAACATGTTCCTGCTGTTCACGTGAAGAAAAGCTTTTTGATCCTTGCGTTTGTTACATTTCTGAGAGCACTAATTAATTTAAGGCATTCTTGTATTGTGCAGTTTTAAATTCCGGGGTGTGAGTGGCTCCCACATTGCCAGCCAGAAGCCAGATAATGACTCATTTTTGCATAACACAAGTGTCCAATTCCATGTTTTAGTTCTTATTCAAGTTTCTTGAACGACTCTATTTAAGTAACACGTGTTTGGACAAAGAAACACACTAGTCCAGGTGCAAGATTCATTTCAGAAAAGAATATGGGGATTTGCCGAACAGTGCAAATCAGGATTTAAAAAACAGAAAGAGGCTGGGCGCGGTGGCTCACGCCTGTAATCCTAGCACTCTGGGAGGCCGAGGCGGGTGGATTGCTAGAGGTCAGGAGTTCGAGACCAGCCTGAGCAAGTGCGAGACCCCATCTCTACTATAAATAGAAAGAAATTAATTAGCTAACTAAAAAAAAAAAAATATATATATATATATTAGCCAGGCATGGTGGTGCATGCTTGTAGTCCCAGCTACTTGGGAGGCTGAGGCAGGAGGATCGCTTGAGCTCAGGAGTTTGAGGTTGCTGTGAGCTAAGCTGATGCCAAGGGACTCTGGCCAGGGCAATAGAAATGAGACCCTGTCTCAAAAAACAAAACAAAACAAAACAACAACCAACAACAAAAAAAAAAAACAGAAAGAAGAAATGAAAAATGGTGCTTGCACACTTTGTACACTAAATAATAAATTACTAAGGTATTTTCTCCTTCAAATTGATATCATTGTCTTACTAAGCAAAATTGGCTATTAATGATTTTAAAAATGCATAATTCTTCTCCCCCATACCCCCTCCTACCCTTGCTTCCATCTTCATGATTATTGTCACCTTGAGGAAACCACAAGCTAAGCCCAGGAGACCTTATGGAATCAAATCTTGCTCATGGCGGTGCTTCTAATAGGCACAGGCTTCATTCAAATTCATCATCCCTAAATGGATGATGCAAGTTATTCGCTTAGGCAATGAATGAATAATGAGATAGGGTGGGTTGCACTTTTCTTTTTCTTTCTCTTTGTAATTGTCATGAACCATACATTCCAATTTTCCAGTCTGTACCTCAGTTAAAATCGCATCAGTCTACTTAGTTACATTAGGCTCTCTGAGAGCCTCTGCTAATGTCTTCCTTTTTTTACTGCTGCAGTGACTCTTATCCACCCTACAGAGACACTACATATTTATGCCTTCCATAAAGCTTTGCTTAAAGCATATGCTCACTAAATGTTTGTTGACTGAATCTGTGACGAGAGAATGTCCTTTGTACTCCCTCCCTTCCAAAAAAGAGATGCCTAAAATCCTAGAAACATGTTTGGAATGGCTTTCCTTAGAGACAAATAAAATTTCAAGATTAATAATGTCTGTGAAATTTGTCTTAAGAATGTGGTAGGCCGGGCGCGGTGGCTCACGCCTGTAATCCTAGCACTCTGGGAGGCCGAGGCGGGTGGATGGCTCGAGGTCAGGAGTTCGAAACCAGCCTGAGCAAGAGCGAGACCCCGTCTCTAATATAAATAGAAAGAAATGAATTGGCCAACTAATATATATATAGAAAAAATTAGCCGGGCATGGTGGCGCATGCCTGTGGTCTCAGCTACTCGGGAGGCTGAGGCAGGAGGATTGCTTGAGCCCAGGAGTTTGAGGTTGCTGTGAGCTAGGCTGACGCCACGGCACTCACTCTAGCCTGGGCAACAAAGCGAGACTCTGTCTCAAAAAAAAAAAAAAAAAAAGAATGTGGTGAATCACACATCTACACTGGTGTGCCTAACCCTGATCCCCTTAAGCCCTAACCCTGAGCTTTTGGCTGGTACTTGTATGTCAGAGAACATGTGGACAGTCAGGCAAAAAGAAGAGCTGGGCTAGTGTAAGTCCATCTGCAGCCCCAGAAGCACTGACACTTACTTATGGCCCAGGTGTGGACAGGCAAGTGAGTGAGTTCAACGGTGAGTGAGGGAGGTAAACTAGTGGAAGGTGAAGTCTGAAAAGTGAAATCAAGGCAGCGGTAGCAAGCCAAGGAAGCTAGACCCACAAGTGTAAATTCGAAAAGAGGCTTCCACGGTTTTTGACAATGGCAGTAATGCTCATGGAGGCCATTCCTATAACCATCAAGCATATATTTAGATAAAAGGGTACAAGTACTTTGGAAAACAGTTTGGTAGTTTCTTACAATGTTACATATACACCTACCATGCAACCCTTATTCCTATGTATTTGGTCCTAAGAAATAAAAATGTGCTTCCACAAAAAGACCTCTAAAATACATGAATGTTCATTGCAGCTTTATTCAAACTGGAAATAGCCCAAATAGGCCTCACCAGGTGAATGGGTAAACAAATTATGGGATATCTATATGAGATACCACACAGCAATGAAAAAAGAACTGATGCATACAATATGAAAGAATTTCACAAACATGATACTAAGTAAAAGAAGCTAGACAAAAGACTACAAGTGGTCTGAAACTCTAAAATACTAATCTATAGAGACAAAAACCAGATCAGTAGTTACCTGAGGCCAGAGATGGGGAAGGAGTTTCCACTGCAAAGGAGCACAACGGACCTTTCTGGGGTGATGAAATTAATTCTACATCTTGATTGTAGTGGTGGCTGCCCAAGTGTACACATTTGTTAAAACTCATTGAACCATATAGACGCAATTTAGTGTGTATAAATTATACCAAAATAAAGTTGATTGGTTAAAAAAAGAGAACTATATTTGGGCACAGCTTTACACGAGGCAAAGAGAAGGAAACAAAAGACACTCCCCTAAGGTGTTTATGGCCTAGGACAAATCTGAGGTGCAGATCTATGACAAAAGGCCTTGCACTTAAGAACAATAGATGGGAGAATGAATCAAGTGTCCAAAGAAGCATATTGACGATGAGTAGAGGAGAGGGAGAGAGGGCGAAAGAGACAGATAGAGGTGGGAGAGTGGGACCACCAGGGCCTGCAGTTAATGAATGATACACCATTGTAGTGAAAGTCTTATTTATCTCCCTCTTCTATGAAGACCGATTTCAAATCCCACTGCCTTCCCAAATTCTTGCTTGACTCCTCACCCACAGTAACCTTTTTTCTTTCCCTCTTTTGAACTATTCTAGTAAGTTCTGTTTATTTGTAAATAATTATGGCTTTTTTCCCCCTTTGAACTGCTATTCAATTTGCTTATAGCTATTTAATTTTCAATGTGTTTATGCCTTATCTCATTACCTAGGAGACAAGCTCCTTAAGAGAATACTTACTATACCCTGATCTCCCTTAGTCCCTCAACTATGGCAGCCAGGCAGTCTCCATAGCTAGCTGTCCTTGATTCATCTTGATTTTCAATTCCTAAAACTGGACTGGGTTAACAATTAGGGTACTAAAGAGACATCTACAATTCTATCATGATTGTACTTAGAAACTATTAATAAGTAAGGGGATGTTGAGGTTTGTGAACCCCTCAGTAATTCATTCCATGCCTACTTTAATTGATAGATTATAACTTCTATCACAAAGCCAAGACTCTTTAGGCAGTGTCTTCTCTGAGGAAAACTGAAATTGAATTGATATGGTTACCTGATGATTTCCCATCTCAAGGATTTTTTTTTTCCAATCAGGAACTTCAGCCAGGGCAGTCACATTTGTATTCAAAGCCTGCCAACTCTGACCAGAAATCAGGTCTCCATTTAAGACACACCTTGACATGTGGATTACAGGTTCTAGTGAAAGGCAGATAAATGTCACTCATGTCAATATAAATAAAAGTCTGGGCCTGCTTATCAGCTTGTAGAGTTGAGGTCTTACCTTCAACACTTCTCAGAGTGCTTTATGCTTTATTATCCTTTAAACGGGGTCTTTTCCATCCAGCTTCTTCCATTTATACCCCCAGAGGGAATTATTACTGTTCAACTCTTTGAAACATACGGCTTCTGTCAACTTCCTGTCTTTTCCTTTAAGACACAATACAACCTGTGGCCTTAAACAGAAATCTGGCAGAATTTTCTCAAATGTCACATTAGAGAATTAAATGTAGGAAGATCATTTTATAGTACTGGATCTAGGATGTCTTGTACCTGCTTTATAGGCGAATCATGTTCTAGCAGGCTTTGATCACTTGGGGTTATGTTTTAGAGCATGGGATTTGTCACCTAAATCCATGTAATAACAAGTATGGATTTAGATTTATGGTTTTCATCACATCCTGTTATCTGAAACCTAGGTACATAGAGCCAAAACTGGCTAAACGTGTCAGTAGCAGCTTGTGTACATTTATACACGTATTGCATCATTTCCCAATGCATCTACAGCGTCATTTCCCAGAGTATCAGAGGGAGGCAAGGCCCACTAAAATGTTTTGCAAAAAAAAAAAAAAGGATTTTTATGGTTTGAGAAATTTAAAAAAGGGGTGATCAAAAACACTCTAAGATGGTTGCATAAATGCAGCCTGCTAAGTTCAATATAACCCAGAGTTCCCAAAGTTACTTGACCATAGAACCTCTTTCTCACACATTTTAGGATACACTACTACATTATTTTATTTTTGGTTGACTTAAGGAATGAGCATAGATTGAGAAAGTTTAGAATTAAATAAGCTTTCTGACTATATTTATTAACCACTTAGGTATGGCACTCACCGGCTGTGAAACCTTGCCCACAGCCGGCACTCACAGTCTGCACGGCAGTTTGTGCTGTGCATTGACGACGAATCCGTTTTGCTCTTGTGTGATGAGGAAAGCTTGAAAGCACTGAAAGCTTGTTTTACTTTACAGGCAGCTTTACTTGTAATGTAAATCAGAATAGGTAACATATACATATATGTTTTTATTTACGTTATTTTTAAATGTTCAAAATTTTATTTTGATAAATGAAAAATTAGAAAAGTCATATCACGGCTGTTGGCTAAAGTTGCTGTGCGCGCTCATCTGTGGCTATCGACTATAGTCGACGCTAGTACCGAAGTGATTAATGTACACTTATTAAGGCCTTAGAAATGCATCTTTCCATTATCTACATTTCTATATTACATTTCTGTACCTATATTTCTGAGCAATGTTCTGAAGCTCAAAGAGGGTAGGACTGCATATAAACAAATATGTTTTGTGTATTTGCTCACCAATGTCATGCTCATTTGTACCTGTGAATTACACTTGGTGATAATGATAATGATTGCAGATTGTTTTAGGAAACAAGGAGCGTTTGCAACAAAATCAAAACTATACATTTGAAAAATTAGCTTTGGATGAGTTCTAGGAGGAGAAACTTGTAGATTCCATTTCTAGCTTTATGTTCTAAGACAGAGGTTCTCAAATGTTTTGGTCTCAGGACTCCTTTATACTCTTAAAAATCATTGAGGACTCCAAGGAGCTTTTGTTTCAGAAGATTTTATCTATCAATATTTACTATGTTAGAAATCAAACCTGAGAAAATTTTAAAATACTAATTCATTGATTCACTTAAAAATAACAATAAGAAACTTATAACATGCAACCATAGGCAATATTTCTGTAAAAATAACTATATTTTCCCAAAGAAAAAAATGAGTGAGAAGATTGGCATTATTTTACATTTTTGGAAATCTTTTCAATGGCTAGCTTGATAGATGACAATTGGATTGTCACATCTGCTTCTGATTCAATCTGTTGTGATACATCATGGCACAGAGACTCTGAAAAATTTCACCATACACTTACGAGACTAAAAAGGGTAATAATATCCTAATATTATTATGAAAATTGTTTTGACCTCATGGATGACCTAAATATCTCTAAGATCTATAGGGTCTCTGGACCACATTTTAAGAGCTACTGCTCTAAGAATTCAATTCAATAAAAATGTTTATTGAGAATCTACTAGACATCCACAAAATAAATAAAGACACATCCCTGCCTCCAAGGCACTCACAGTGTCTCCTTCTACACCTCTTAATTTCCAACCAAATCTTAACAATATTCAGGACTGTCATTCTATTTCCTCCCTGTCATCTTTGATGATTCCATTAGATAAAAAGATCTCTACTTTTTCTACATGTCTGTAGCAATTATTATCTATGCAGTCCACTTGGAATTTTAATGATATGCTGCAGTGGGGGACTTATTGTTGGTCCAACTGTGACTTAATTATTAATATTTCATATTTTGTGATTATATCTTGTTCTTGCTCCCAATGGGCTCTTTGAGGGCAATAACTTATTTTGCTTATGGTGCCCAAAATACATAGCAAAAGTTATGGATCTTAGATATTTAGTTATTTGATTTGCAACTAATGGAGTGTGGCAGAACGATGCCATGTGCTCATCAATCCTATTTCCTTTTCCAATTCTTGAGCACTCAGGAAGACTATATTTCCCAGTTTCCTCTCTGCAGTTGGGCTGGGGCCACGTGACTGGGTTAGGGCCAAGTGGATGTGAATAGAAGTAATATAAGCCACCACCAAGCCTGGCCCTTAAAATGTCCTGTACAGCCCTGCTGTTCTGTCTTCCCTTTTGGTAGTGACCGTGGTGGTCATGTGTTGAGCTGGCAGAAACATAGCATGAAAGCAGCAGGATCCCTGAGTCACCACAGGGAAGACAGCCCTGGAGAGTAGCCTGACACCACCCATGGTAAGCTAATGAGATTTCAGGGATTACTTGTTACTGCAGCAAAGCCTACCTTTTCCTGATGTATTAGAGGCAAGAGAATGTTCACATAGGAATTGGAAATAATGTAAGACATAATACCATGTGCAGATGAGTCAGGGAGTGATCTGGAAGGTGAGAGTGGGCAGCAGCCCTCTTTAAGCAAACAGTGTGGAACACAACAGATAACCATACAATGGCTAATGCTTCCTGTGCTTGCATGTTTGGGACTGTGCTCTGAGCATTGTATCATGGAATCTTCACAGAAACCCTATGAAGTCTATAATCTCCATTTTACAGATAAAGAAACTGAAGCTTAGAGAGGTCAAGCATCTTGCCAACATATTAGTCAGGGTTCTCCCAAGAAATAAAACCAACAGAAAGTGAGAGAGAGATTTATTTTAAGAAATTGGCTCACAATTATAGAGGCTTGGTGAGTCTAAAATCTGATGTGGTAGGCCAGGCAGGCTGGAGGCCTAAGGAAGAGTAGCATCTGCTGGCAGAATCCACTCTTCTTCGGAGGTAGTCTTTGTTCTACGAAGGCTTTCAATTGATTAGATGAGGCCACCCACATGATGGAGGGTAATTTATTCAAAGTCCACCGATTTAAATGTTAATAACATCCAAAAAGCACCTTCACAGAAATATCTGGGATAATGTTTGAACAAATATCTGGGCACCATGGCCCAACCAAATTGACATACAAATTAACCACCACACCCAAGACCCCAGGACTAGACCCTGAGTGTCTCTGATTCCAAAGCAATAAAGCTCCCTAACAAGCTAAGGCTCATTTTAGATTTGAATTGAGCCCATGTCAACAAATCCCTCAACTTCAATGGAAGGCAACATCATAAAGATGCGAACTAAAAGAAAATTTTAAGGCTGCCCCCGCCCCGAATGAATGGACCCCCTCTTGGTCAAGGGGATACTCTAAATCTGAGTTGCCAGCCTTGAGAAGAGAGGACAGACAGGTCTCCTCATGCCTCCCTCCTTTCTTGGAGGATGCCCTTTGCAACTCATTAATAGGTCTAAGGCTATACAAGACAAACCTGCAGGTCTTCAATTTACACAGCAAATATATGGCTTGTCTCTGATATCTTACTAGTTGATATCTTAGTCCTTTTTTTGTTGTTATAAAGTAATACTTGAGGCTGGGTAATTTTTTTTAAGTGGTTTATTTGGCTTATGGTTCTGCAGGGTGTATAAGAAGCATGGTGCCAGTGTTTGTCTCTGGTGAGGGTCTCAATCTGCTTTCATCCATGATAGAAGGGGAAGAGAAGCTGGCATGTACAGAGATCACATGACAAAGGAGGAGGTGAGAGAAGGGGAAGGTACCAGACTCTTTTTAAACAACCAGCTCTCATGAGAACTAATAGAGTGAGAACTCATTACCATAAGCATAGCACCAAGCCATTCATAAGGGATCTGCCTTCATGACCCAAACATCTCCCACTAGGCTCCACCTCCAACTTTGGGGATCAAATTTCAACACAAAGTTTGGAGGGTCAAATATACACTAGACATAATAGTAAGTGGTTTCTACCCATAGATTTTTATACCTGTGAATCCCAGCTATAGGAGAAAGATCACCATATATCATATTCTGATTCAGAGCATATACAGCTCCTGGAGAACTCTGCCCCAGCCCTGCAGGGTATTACCACATAGCTGGCATTTTAATTTGAGTCTTCAAAAGGCCATTCCACTGTTCTATTGAGCCAGCTGTTTTAGGATGGTAGGGAACATGATAAGACCAATAAATTCTATGAGCATGGATGGACCCACTGCCATACTTCATTGCTGTGAAATGGGTTCCTTTATTAGAAGCAATGCTGTATGGAATACAGCTCTCACAAGAGAGGGTAGATGGTGGTGGATAAAGCATTCTGTAAGTCCATGGCTGGTAGTTTGGCAGAAGCACTTCATGCTGAGAAGGCAAATCCATATCCAAAGTGTCTATTCCATAGGAACAAAAAGGTGCCTCTTTTACAATGGAAGCAGTTCAATGTAATCAACCTGCCACCAGGTAGCTGGCTCATCACTCCAGGGAATGGTGCCATATTGGGGACTCAGTGATGGCCTCTGCTATTGGCAGATTGGGTACTCAGCAGTGGCTATAGCCAGGTCAGCCTTGCTGAGTGGAAGTCTATGTTGCTGAGTCCATGCTTAACCTCTATCCCTGCCACCATGGCCACTTCATTAATGAGACTATTGGACAATGACAGGGGTGGCTAGAGAAAGAGGCTGTTATCCACAGAATGGGTCATCTTATCCAGTTATTAAAATCCTCCTGTGCTGAGGTAACCCTTTTGTGGGGTTGACATGGGACACAAATGTTTACTTTTTCGCCCATTCAGAGAAGTCTAGCCACATGCCTCTTCCCTAGACTTCCTTTTTGCCAATTTTCTAATTGTGTTCCTTCCAAGTCCCTGACCATCCAGCCAAACCACTGGCCACAGCCTATGCATCAGTATATAATTACACATGTAGACATTTCTCCTTCCAATGCAAATGAATAACCAGGTACATTGCACAAAGTTTTGCCCACTGGGAGGCTTTTCCTTCACCACTGTCCTTCAGGGATATCCCAGAAAGGAGTTTTAGTGCTATAGTTCTCTCATTTTAGATGGTGCCTGCATATCATTCAGAACCATCTGTAGACCAGGCCTGAATTTTCTCTTTCACTACAGTAAAGCAAAGTAGGTCTGTCATTTCTAACTTACTGTGGCCTACCTTTCGGTCCATGTGTTAGCTAACCAACCATTGAATTCGAGCCCTTACTCCCGAGCAGCAACATTAAATGCAGAAATTCTGCTCAATGAGCCCTATCAATAAATTCAGCCTGATCCAATTTTATGTTTCTTCCACCTTTATCTCACACTTTTTATATTTATTCCCACACATATTCCCTGGATTTCTGGCTGTATAGATTAGAAAGCTCAAGTAGTTCTTTTGGATCACATTTTCTACCTAACCTTTAGGGACTACTAGGATTTGAGTCTAGTTACAGTTCTAGAAGTCAAGGAGTGATGGGGATGGGTCCTCAGGAAAATCAGCATTGCCTTGCAAGGCAACTGCCTTAGGGAGAGGTCATTACAGATTCCTCAGGCAAGGAAAGTTTAATCCCTAGGCAGGAATGGAGAGGCCACTTCTACTGGGGGTAGAGAGGCTGCTTCTACTGGCAAACAAGACTCATTAGAATTTAGGGGTTCAATATTCCCAGTACCATCAAGATCTTCCCATAGGTCCCCATTCCGACTTTTGCAATCCTATTCTTTTCCAATCAGTGCTCTCACTTGTAGGCACCCTCCAAGGCAAATAATTTGCATTATAATTCAGTCATTTACAGGATGAGATTCTGAGTTTGATTTTCAGCAGTCTCAGCCTGCAGTTATAGGAGATAAGGCAGACATAGAACATCAGACAGGTCACTGATGTTGTACTTGAGCTGGGAATCCCTGAGCTCATCCTTTTCTTTTCCCACTTTGTCCAGCAACATTAGAAGCAACCAGCCAATCCCATTATGCTCATTAGTTTTATAAATATGTTAGAAAGTATCAAACACATGGTCATCAGATCCATGCTTTTTTTTAAGTGTCTGCTTAGGAGTATCTTATGGTGATATTTTGTTATTTCTATTACCTGACCATGCCATGGACTATCACTGCTTTCTTAACTACTGTTAAGTCATTCATCTCTTTAATCATATTAGAGAGTCATTTTCAGAAACTCCAGAATCAATTCAGAAAATTCATCCTTGAGATTCTGTTCCACACCACCCCTAGTACCAGAATCTATAGTTGTCAGGGTTCTCCAGAGAAATAGAATCAACAGGATGTGTATATATAAAGAGACAGAGAGAAAGAAGTCTGTTATAAGGATTTTGAGTCATATATAGAGACTGGCAAATCCAAATCTTCAGTGTGGGCTACAGGTTCAAGACTCAGGAGGGTAGATAAAATCCAAAGGCAGTTGGCTGGAGAATTCCCTATTGGTTGGGAGTCAGTCTTTTTGTTCTGTTCAGGCCTTCAACTGATTAGATCAGGCCCACCAACATTATATAGGGCAATCTGCTTTGCTCTACTGATTAAAAATGTTAATCTCATTCCAAAATGCCCTCACAGAAACAACTAGAATAATGTTTGACCAAATATCTGGGCACTCCATGGTGCAGTCAAGTTGACACATAAAATTAACCATCACAACTACTATTTTAAATATATCAGGTTATTCACAATGAATTTTATAAGGATAAATAACAGGGAAAGGAAGATTTGATAATCCAGAGACAAAAAACTGTAGGCAAAAAAAATTCAAAGATTTTTTTTTCTATGATAATTACAATGTTAATGGGGCTTAACAATGAATTAATATTTATGGACAATCTAATATCTATATATTATATATTTTTCATGTTATTCTTCACATTAGTGTAATCCAGATATCAGCTGAGTGCCTTCCTCTGGCCCCTTGAGATCTAGGCAAAAATGTTTCAAAACCTAAGTTTTCAGCCTACAGAAGTCCAAAGTCTGGTTCATAGTCCTGCTAATTTCCAACGCTAATAAATTCTCTTCACCTCTACTGCTTCTTGAGTTCTGCTACATTGCCCAGCCCTATGGTTCCAGACCACAGTGACCCCAACATAAGACTAATTCTCTTCTTCAATTTCTACAAGAGAAACCCATACCAAGACTGAGTCTATCAGACTTTACTGTACACACTGGGCTGGGGAAGGCGTCACAACATTTAGTCTATAAGCTTCTGCCACCTTTCAAGTTTCTTCTCTTTTCTACCTTTCATCCTCCCCTTTTCTAAGTGCCCAAAACTCCAATTTTTGCAAAGTAATTTCACCACGAAGGTAAGTTAGCTGTGTACTCTCCAAATTTTGTTAGAGGTTTGTTGGGACTTTTTTTCCTTTTAAGGGATAGAAATTTAGCCCTAGCCAGCTTAGGGGCAAAAGGAAATTTTTTTGGCTCTTTGAATCAAAGGACAGACTTCCAACCAAACTGCAGGAAGAGAGAGATTTAGCTAAAACCAGGGACTTACACTTCTCTCATTGCAGTCTGGCAACAAGTCCTAATTCTTATCTTTCAGCTTTCACCTATTTGGGAAGGGCAGTCTTACATTCCTTATTGCTCAAATATAAAAAATGCTGGGTAAGGATTCTGAATGGCTTAATGCAGCCAGCTGCCTATCCTAGCACCAGCTGCCTATAGTGTGTATGTTCCTGTAAGAACACAGCACTTTCCAAGGAACCAATTACTTAATGAAGAGGAAGGGGAAATTTCCAGGTAAAAGCAATTTCACCATAGACATAATACTCTTGAATAGTTTTGGCTACCCTTAAGTAAAATATGGGATAACTACTTCCCTAATTTGCACACCAGCAGTTTAAACCAAGTGTCATTAGACCACAGAGGAGGGGGCAATAAATATTGCCTTCCCGACAGCAGGGAGAAATACTTTCATAGAGGCCTCTTGAGGTGAGCCTTTAGGATTGAGTGTGATTTGTCAAGCTAAGAGGGGATTCCAGGGAGAGAGACTTCCAGGCTTGAGCAAATGGCCATAAATACCTGCTCTTCCAGACTTCTCCTTTCACATGCTGAAAAAAAAAATCCATTTGATGCCATCAGAAAAAAAGGATAAAGTATCATGTTAAAACAAGCACAGATTAAATAATCTTTGCTCGAACTAAAACACAAACTTTGTGAATAAGCCACTTTAAAACACGCTACAATTTGGCTCTTTCATCTACTACACAAGAATCGTAACAGTACCCTCAGAAGGCTCAAGAGATTATTAAATGAGACAATCCCCTAGTCAACGCCCTAGCATATTATAAGCACTCAGTAAACGGAAAATATTAGCAATTATTTTATACTCATAAGTGTAGCCAGAAGGTTGTATTGAATGCTAAATGTCGGCTAGATTCCATTCTGTAAATATTTCAAGTAAGTTTTTATTGCAAACCAGCCGTTGTTCCTGTAAAATACTTTGAAATGCTCCGTTTGATAGTCCGGGTACATTCCATGGCACAAAACCGGGAGAAACTAGGAAATGGAAGTAACAAGTGAGTTCCGATGCTTTGATTCTCTCTAGAGAAACAGGCGAGAAAGGAAGGTAAAATAAGACATAAAACATGGTCTCCCTAATCAGAGGAGATTAAACTGGCAAGACCTCCCTCGGGGCCTGCAGAGCGCGGGGATTCGTGCCTGGGGAGCCTGAGGACTGGGGAAGACAGCGAAGGCGTCGTCCGGGAGGCCCCGCGGCGCAGAGGCGCTCGGTCTCGTGCTCCAGGTCTGGGACTACCGAGAGCAAGCAGAAGCTTTCACTACTTTTCCCCGCGGCCCTACGGTGCCTCCGGCCAACAAACCAGCCAGGCCCTGCCCAGCGGCTCCTTTACCTAGCCGCGCCTC